TCGTTTTTCCTCCGACCCTACCCCCCCCCCCCCCCCCACACCACCCCGGGAAAAAATATTTTTTTAATATATTTTCGGTTTTACTTTTTTCATCTTTCGGTTTACAGGTTCAAAATTTTACAAGTTCCAAAGTTATGAGTTCGGAGGTTTATGTGTTTCGAAGTTTACGGGTTTAGAAATTATAAAGTTTACGGGTTCGAAATTTCGCGGTTTCGAAAGTTTTGCAGTTCAAAAGTTTATGAAATTTATGGGTTCGGAAAGTTGGTTCGAAAGTTTATGGCTTCATATTTATTGTATCAAAATTATTTATGAATACTCTTGAGAAAATGTTTTCCTTGATTTGCATACAAACACCAAAAAATGAATAAGATTACTACTTGTTTTCCAAGAAAACATTTTCTTGGAAAACATTTTCCACGGAAAACATTTTCCGTCATACCAAACACACCCCAAATGGAAAAACGCGAGGTCCCGACTTGATTCTTTATGATGGGTCGATAGTCCTCGCCCTCTGTGCTCGAGCTATTAAGGAGGGAATTGAGGATAGGGCGTGTGTACCATCATTTAGAGTTAGTGGGTTCAGACTTCAGAGTTGGTATGATCTGCTATTACATACTATGTTCTTTTTCTTTTTCTTTTTGCATAGTTCCATATGAAAACAGAAAGATTCATTTGAACTTACTAAACCCAACCTTGATTTATGGTTTAACCAGATCTCCTGCTTTAATCTTTTACATAATTCTATATGCTTGCAATCAAATTCGTGAAAAGTTTCTGATTTACCTAGCTCTAGTTCTAATATGGGAAGAGGCAAGCAAAGATCGAGAGTTTTTGGTCTTTATACTCTTAATATGGTATGATGTTGTCCGCCATGGGCGAAGCTACATTTTCATAAGGGTGGTCAATTGACCACCTTTCGACGTATATAAGTTAAATATTAGATTTTAGAGGTATATGATATATATTAAACACCCTTTGTTGGAGAATTTTTTTCACTTCTTTCAAGTTTGAACAACCTTGGATAAATTTCTGGCTCCGCCACTGGACTCCGCTACTGGTGAAAACTAGTACTCGTACAATTTTTTTTTAACTCTTTCGCAGTGTATCCAAGACGAAAATAAAAGAACGCATGACTAACTCCAAAACTTCAATACGTCAACTGGCAACAAAAGTAACATTTTTCCGTAGTCTATCAATCATCAAGTATACTGAATAGTAGTAGTATTACTTTTAATGACAAAAATATATAAATAAACAAATAAATAATGAATAAATGCATCCAAAAGCCATGAAGGATCAAAGTTATCTTATAAGGTTCACTTAAAATTTATACAAGTTCAACTAGTAGTTTGACACAATCAGTAAAGCATTTTCAATTGAACCAATTTGGGGAAAAAATGGTCCTATGACTTGCACACCAACAACTATCAAAGAGTGATATATTTTACCATGAGTTTTTTACTAGAAATTTCTGGGCAGAAATTCAAGATCAAGACGTCCATTCTACACTTGGATTAGCACCTATTTTGCTCAACAACTTTTATTCATTAGTCTCTGCATTCATTGGTAAAAGGCGATTTCGGTATATACGTTTTATATATTTGACTGTTATGCTGTTCACAATTTTAGTGCTGTCAACTTGAGCAATGATCTCTGTAATGCAGTACATTGTAAAGCAAAAAACTAGATTCATGTATAGCAGGGTCATGCATAAATAATTAAGAGGAGGATTATTGCTTTAGCAGGGTGAAAGGAGCATAACTTTTGAACAAAATCAATATTTTTGCTTGCTTCTTTCTCTTAGTCTTATTCGCCATATAAAGGAAATACGGTCTATAGTTAACTGCCATTGAACTTTCTGGTTTCAATGGCAGCAATAGGGAATTAAAGATGCAACAAATGTTACCTGTGCGACAGCGCAACTGAAGATGCAACCCATCTCTTTCTACACTGCCGAACAGTGTCTCAGCTTTGGAATCTGTTTATTCATATTAATCAAGTGGACTGTGCCAAGAACAATCAAACTCCTCTACCGGACAGGGAAAAGAGGGGGAAAGGGCAAGAAGAAGCCTTTGGCAACCATACCAGCAAAGCATATGGTGGGTCATTTTGATAGAAGGAAATCTCAGATGTTTTGAAGGCAAAAGGAAGAACATACACAAGCTGAAGCTCAACTGTTTCTCGCTCTTAGCCATTTGTTTCAAATTGCAGAATGTACAAGATAAACATAGTTATCTAGATTTTCTCAGCTTGCAGATTAGTACCAACAAGAATTGTCTTATCACAAGGTTCCTAGTCATAACCTATACTTTCGTAAGAATCTAACTGTAATTCTCAGCAAAATCTTAGTGCTGCTTTTGTTTTAGTAGAAGCTCACTTACCAATCAAAATGGCAGCAATTAAGATGTTGGAAGGTGATTGTCTAAAGTGATTAATATGCCGATACCTGAACCCGCCCACCTCTTTTTCAAACACTACAACAACAACAACCCAGTGAAACTCCACAAGTGGGGTTCAGGGAGGATAGTGTGTACTTAGACCTTACCCCTACCTTGGATGGATAGAGAGGCTGTTTCCGGTAGACCCTCGACTCAGGAAGGAAGGAAAGAAATAGTAGAAACAAGTATTACTAACACCAAGTGCCAGAAAGATAATCACATCAAACTAAGAGCCAGATAATAAATGGAAGATGGCACTAATAATTGACAAGAAGCTTCTACACAATATTCCATGAGAAAGTTATCGTACAAGGAGATGTAACAGAACAAAGTTTGGTCTGAACATAGATAAATGAGCCCTTGGAGAAGATACTGTTACAATATGAATAGGATTATAAAACACCATTTTGAGTTCTATAGTTCTGCATACCATCTACATGCACTGATTTGAGTTCATCCAGTTTTAACAGCTATAGTTTTACCGTGTTTTAAGAAAATAGATCTTGGGTCTAAATCAACATCAAACTTTAGCGTAAGAGGTGAGACTACCTAAGACTTATATTACAGCTTATACAATTAAACAATGGGATTCTATCATACTCCGCACAAATCAGGAGTGTGAACTATCATAACATGGGTGGCCCGACTTCAAGGATAAATCTAGCTCTAAAATTATAGCTCCGATGCCATGATAAGAACACGAACCTTAGCCCTCATTTGGTAAAAACCTTTGAAAATCCTCACAACCAATGAGAGACAGGTGATATATTCTCTAATACCCTCCCACATTTGTAACTCTGTTCTAGAGCTTAACGTGAATTTGAATCTTTTTCTATTTTTTATTTTTTTTGCTTTTAAATTTTTCTCTTATGATTTCTTAGATCAGTTTTTCTCTTATGTTTTATTTGAGGAAGTGGGATTGGCTTAAGAAGAGGAGATGGGAGTACTTATATATTTATTTATACACACACACACACATATATATATAAATATATACACGCACACATATATACAGAGAGACAGGGGGGGG